CAGTAAGTCTTTCTACGACAGACCAACGGACCACGAGTGCCCCTGTCGGTCAACCAATCACGTACCGCGGTATCGCGTGTCATCATACCTGCGGTATCTGTACTGCGGTGTCTGTACCGCGCACTTTGAATGGCTGCATCTGTAGTGATATACATTATATTTTTAAAATCTGCAACATTTACAAAGCAAAATAATAAAGCATAATAATGTATTAAAAAATGCTCATTAATTTCCATTCCAAGGACAGAGCAACCCTTAATATAATGTAATGCAAGACCAGTTGTTTTAAAAAATGAGGAGTAACAAGTCAGCGATATTGTTTAATTAGTGAGCAGTGGTAGATTGTGAGTATAACTATCCCACTATACCAGGCTACAGCTGTGAACACAGCTCAGAGTTCTTCTAATTGTCTGTGACAGGATTTGTATACATGAAAGTGCTTTGCATACCTGTGCTGCCTCACTGCTTTAAACAGAAGCAGTAATCACTGCTCTGTTGCATTGCTCAGGAGGATTTAAAGCTGACAGTCCTTCCCTGTTACAGTCACTGAGACACACAGATGACATGGCTTCACTGGGGATGATCGTCTGCACGCTAGTGCTCTTTGCTCAAGGTAAGAGGTCTTGTTACTCCTTGATTAGAGCTGGTCACTATGGATTCTATGGATTTTCAAAAATATAGTGAACCTAATGTTTCTGTGTGTGTTCTTGATGCTAGCAGACAGGCTGGGAGATTCCTGTTTTCACCTTGATTTCTCTCACTTTGGTCATTTTTTCTCTAGAGTCAAGAGGTGACATTGTGGTCACTCAGTCTCCAACATTTCTGTCTGCTCCACTGGGAGGCACAGTGAAAATCAACTGTAAATCTGTGACAGCGATAGATGATGACATGGCCTGGTACCACCAAAGACCTGGACAAGAACCTAAACTTCTGATTTATGAAGGTCCCAAACGCTTCACTGGAGTTCCTGACAGGTTCTCAGCATCTGGATATGACTTTGATTTCAATTTAACAATCAGCAACATCCAGGCAGAAGATGCAGGAGATTACTATTGTCAACAGCATGAAGCAAGACCTCTCACACAGTGAAACACAGCTGTACAAAACCTCCCTAGCTGTACAAAAGCTGCTCTGGCTCAGAAATCAAACCTCAGAAACTATCCTGTGAACAGACAACCAGTAAGTATGTTTAAATAACTTTAAAATAAAAAAGCAAAATTTAAAATCTGTTTCCAGCACATGTTATTGGCATTGCCTGTTTTACTCAATGTTGCTATTTACAGTATATTGATGTACTGTAACACTGTACTGTGTATATTACATTTACATTTCCCAATACATTTATATTTCTACAATACGTTTTGTTTTTGCTAAGATTGCAGTTTTTCTCCCCATTTTTTTTTTGTTTTGCTGGAATGTGCTGTAAATATCACTGTAAAGCTATGATGTGCTTATTCCTAGCTTGTCCTTGTGAAATTCACCCAGAACTTTTGAAAGGGATAACAGAATATAACATAATTGAAAAAGTGGAGGAAAAATATACTTTGCAGAGTCATTATACATGACTAAAGTTATGAAAATACTAAATAAGATTTAATCTTAGTACTGAGCCTTGTTTTTAAAATACAATTTGCATGTTGTTCATCTTTAATGCATTTATCAAGTATTAATAAATAATGCATTTATTAATTATAATGTAGGGTGACTCCAAGGTTACAGATGGTTTTGGATAAAAATTGAATTTACTAAGCCTTATATTTTTTTGCTCTTTCAGTAGATTTTAAATTGTTTAAGTGCAATTTAACACCCCATTAAGCATCAAGGAATCACATGTACAGAATGGATGGATCCAAAAAAATCTCATGAATAAAGGGCAATGTGTGCCCTTTAAATGCAGTTCTGGAAGACACATACATTTTTTCAAGTCTCAGTTTCTAAAAGTTTTAAAAGGTCTAAAAGGTTTATTCCATGCAGAAGAGAGAAGAAAAGAAACACAACATTTTGGCTGTGGAGCCTTCTTCAGGCCACACCTGAAGCATGGAATCAGCATGGAATAAACCTTTATTTGTTCCTTTGCAGCCTATGGATGGTGACGCATCAACTTACTTGAACTACTTTTGAAAATGTATCTTTATTATAAAAAAGTTGGTGATGATGAACTACTGAAAACCACCTTAACCAAAATTAAATACATTGCAATATATCCTCAGCTTTACGTAATCCCTCCTCTTTCCCTTTAAGAAGGCGTAGACCTCGCCTAGACACTTAACTTATCACCTTACCTGTTCAGCACCACACCTCCGGCTTCTTCCTATTTTTGTAATCTCTGGCACTTCTCTCACTGTTCAGTATTGTTTTTTTTCCTTCTTAGAGCTTTCATTGTTTAGTACTTCATTTTCCTGACTGCGGCCTTTTGGTTTCGGCGTTTGTTTTTCTCTATGGTTTTTTGGATATTTTAAGTCCCCGGCTTGGATTCTCGATTACGTCTTTTGGATTTGGGCTCTTGGTTTCGGCATTTGTGTTTTCCTCCTCATTGGTACTTGAACCCTCGGACTTGGATTTTTCATTACGACTTCTGGTTCCTGGGTTGGACGTTTCTGTTTCCCTCCTGTTTTGGCACTTGGACCCCTTGACTAGGATAATCGACTGCGTCTTTTACTCTAACATTCATCTATTTTTCGATACTCCGCCCAGGATCTCCTTTACTCTATCATATGCGCTCTTAACAGAGCGTAACATAATACTGAGCCGTAAGTATATAAGCAGAGTTAGACTCAATGCATGGACTTCTTCATCAATGGTCTCAAGCCGTCATGCAACTACTGTACACGCATTGGCTTTTATAAACGGGGTGGTCTTCACCTTAACCAGAGGGGATCATTAATTCTATCCCAAAATATAGCAGAGAAGCTGCCTGCTTGACTAGTAAGAGTACCACCCAGGCCTCAGCCATGTGATCTTAAATCGCGTACTGTGTACTCCCACCTCTAGTTCACCTCCTGTTCCGACCCAGGTTCTCTACCACACGGCATCCCATCAATCACATAACTATCCAGAATATGAGTGTGAATAGTATTGCAACTATCACTAGACCTAGATTATAATTCAGGCGTTCCTTTAGGGGCTTTTGTGTTGACAATTTAATCTCCATTCCACTGGTAAACCTTAATCAGAAAAAACAGGAAACTACCATAAAATGCTCACTGTTAAATGTTTGCTCACTAGGCAGCAAATCAGTTCTGGTTAATGATAGGGTGCTTGACACCAACTCTGACCATTGCCTAGTAACAGAAACCTGAGTTAGACCCACTGACACTATTCCTTTAGTTGAAGCCTCACCTAATGGCTATACTTTTTTACAGCAAGCTTGTTGCTCAGGGCATGGAGGTGACCTAGCAGCCATCTTCAGTGAGTTTATAAGAATTTAATTAAAAACTATTAATAACTTTCACCCATTTTAAGCAATGCCTCTTAAAATGACACCCAAATCATCTACATACATTATTTTAGTGTACAGACCCCCAGGACCATATGCATTGTTTCTTGCTGAATTTGGTGAACTGCTCTCTGATTTAGTTATTAATTTAGACAAAGTTGTGATATTAGATTACTTTAACATACATATGGACATACAGACAGACACTTTCAGTAAAGTTTTCTTGTCTCTCCTTGACTCTGTAGGTTGTAGTCGACATATAACAGGACCAGCACACATATGCGAGCATACATTAGACTTAATTATCACTCATAGAGCTGATATTCATCATGTACTGGTCCATCCCATCAATAACTCTTTTTCTGACCACTCTTTAATTACTTTTGAGATTCAACTGCCCTTGATAGCTGCCAAGGAGAAGACGATTACAACATGACACATCAATGGGGGTACTTCATTAAATTTCATGAACACGATGAACAATGCTAGCTTTATCTCCAGTAATAAT